TGGGTATTAGCACTGTAATTCTAATAACCACTCAGGACAAAGATGAGGGCCATACCCTAGTGATGCTAGGGCAGAAAGCTGGAAACAGCCTAGGTTTGTTTGGAGCCTCCATACCAATCAGACTGAATAGTTTAGGACTTCTTTTACACATGAGAGAAGTATACCTTTACCTTTTTTTTTTTTTTTTATCCTCACCCGAGGACATTTTTCCATTTTTTGTTCAGATAGAGCAGGAGGGAGAGAGAGGAAGAGAGAGAGAGAGAAACATCGATGTGAAGGGACACATCGAGTGGCTGCCACCCGCACGACCAACCAGGGCCGGGGACAAACTGCAACCGAAGTACGTGCCCTTAGCGGGAACCGAACCCGGGTCTCTCTGTACCACAGGTCGACGCTCCAACCGCAGAGCCAAACCGGCCCGGGCCACCTTTACCTTTTTAATGTGCAACTGCATGTTATTTAGTCCTATCGGATACACATGCCTTTTGCTGTTAGTTCACTTGTTGAACAGATATTTATTGAAAACAAAATAGGTTCCAAGGCACATGGAATAAAGAGTAACACATAGTTACTGTCCTTGATAACCCATCAGTTTAATTAAAGGTAGTGCCATATAATTATTTATAATGTCTTTCTGACACTGTATACAAAAGTCCAATATTCAAAGAACATGTTAAAGGAAATGGTTCCATTTCTAGGAAGTTAAAAACCTGTCCCTTTAGACAAAATCTTTAATGATTTTTTTGAAACACTTTATACATGTTTTAAAACTTCAAATATTTTCAAACTAAATTCATTATTGAATGGCTTAAAAACAATAAGCATCTAATTAAGAGTGAAGATTTTTCACACCTAATAATTTCCCTATCTGTATCAATTGTATGAAGTTTCTAAGATCTTCATCTTCTAACACTAATGTCAGCTCTTGAATATTTTTAGATACCCCCCACTATTTTCCATAAAAAAGGATATGCCAGAATATTCCAATTCAATAAAATAAATAAGAACATACACACTGTAATACTCATTCAGAAAATACTGAGTACCTGCTATATGCAAAGCAATGGAGCAAAACTTGCTCTTATATGCTTAGTCTTAGCAGTGGAGAGAAACATTAATCAGACAATCACATGAATAAATATACAATTTCAAAATGTAAAAAGTGCAATGAGAAAAAAATTATTATGGAAACATAGATCAGAAAGCTTTGGCAATAAAAAAGGTGGTAATACACTTTAAGGGTGTCAGTGTACAAGGTTCAAAGAAACACCTTTTTCAAAATCCAGATACATAAAAGTTGGGCTACCTGTAAATTCAGCATTATAAACATTATCTCAGTAATTAGCAATGTGCTTTAGAAACCCACCCTAGCCCAGGTCGGTTTTGCTCAGTGGTTAGAGCGTCAGCCCGCGTACCAGAGTCCCAGGTTCGGTTGGTTCCCTCTAAGGGACGTACCTTGGCTGCGGTTGTCCCCGGCCCCAGTTAGGGTTGTGCGGGTGGCAACCAGTCTCACATCGATATTTCTCTCTCTCTCTCTCTCTCCCTCCCACTCTATCTCAAGATAAATGCAAAAATGTCCTGGAGTCAGGATAAAACAACAACAAGAAACCCAGCCCATACTGGTGAAGCTGAGCTGAGGGCTAAGGGTTGAACAACAACAAAAGTTAGCCAAGTGAAAGAGGTGAGGGTAAATATTCCAGGAGGAGAGAGACATCATGACACCCCAACAGTTATCCAGTGGAGAAAAAGATTATGGCTCAAGTGCAGAGAAGAAACAAGGGGTTAGGAGAGGAAAATATGGAAATGTACTGGTTCGATAAGGAGAGAGGTATCATCTAAGACCTTGTATGTCATCATTGAAAGTTTGGACTTAATTCTGAAAATAATGAGAAATCACTGAAGAGTTAAGTGGGGAGAGTGATAAATTAAAATTTGAAATTTAAAAAAATCACATTCAACAGTCCTACACGTTTAAGGAAAACATTTCATAGAATAACTTGAAAGAAAAGAAAATTTAATCTATCCCTTTACTCACTCCTTTTGATAAAATTTTGTTACTATTCCACGTTAATAGCAAAATGCTTCAGGCCATGGTATGCAAGGAGTATGGTTTTAGAAGAAAGTGTGTGATCCAGGAAACTTACCTTCCCTGATCAGAAAACTCATTAATGGAAGAGTCAGGGATGAAATTACCTTTACCTACCTATACTTTATGATTCTAAATAGGCACCTCCGTTCCCCAACCCCTGCCCCGGGTCCCAACACACTAACACCATTTCTGAACTAGTCTCAAAGAGAACTCCTTTCCATATCTATTAAACGGAGTTATACAGTCTAATTTCATTTGGCTGCTGTAGGAATTAAATGAGAGGTGCCAAAAATATAGCAAGTACTAGCATAAGTAAATATTAGCATCTATTACAACAAACCAGTGATTAGTATAGTGTTTGATTATTATCAGAAAGGCGCTGACTGCACCCAAATCACTATTTCAGGTGCACGTACAAGCACAGATTGGTCAGAAGTGAGAAGATGACCCTACAAACACACCATCCGTTTTCGGGTCTGGCTTTAACTTTTCCACTCAGGGCTTGCAGCTTTCCAACTCGCCCTGTGCCTATCCCTGTAACTACCTTTCCTCTTCTTCGCCAATGTTGCCTCTACAGGTAAAGGCCCAACCCAGCGCTCCTCATTATCCTCTTCGTTCTCCTGGGCCACTGCCAGCTCTCTTTCTTTGAGTTCCGTTTTTTCCGGTTCCTCCGGGTCCCGGCGCCTTCTTCTTCTTAGCTGGGAATCACTACCACCTTCCGCCGCCATGCTGTCTGAATCGTCAGAAAAGGCGCGACGCACAGCTCGACAACCAATCCCAAGGCAGCGGCGCTGCCGTCTCGTCAGCGGCCGAGCGAGCTTCGGGATTGGCTGCGGTGTGTCCAATCAGTAAGCAGCGCGCGCTGAAGAAGACTTGTTTACCCTAGGCGGAGGCGACTGGGAGTCGGGGACTCTAGTGGTAAGAAGAGGGCAGGGGACATTGCTGCGGTTGGCACTTGCTATCGGGGCTAGGTAGCTGCAGGCCGGACGGTGGGGCCCTCACTTCCAGGAAGCCGGATAGCCGGGCCTTGAGCCCTGCTCTTCGGCTCCGCCCGCGGGGTAAGGGAGGAAGACGGAGCGGTGGGGAATGGAAGGAATTGTGACCTGGGCCTCCCTCGAGTGCTCCAAACGTGTCTTCTCCCCCGAGCGTCTTGATTATCTCACATAGTACGAAGAAGGTGGTGAGCGCTTGCTACTGTTTTCTGGGAGATACCCAGTCGTGCCAAGTAACCTGAGTGGCCCACGGTGGGACCATTCACCCTTCTGTCATCACCCTGCTCTAGGCTTCCATCTCTTAGCGGCCTTCTGGATTTCAGCTCTTTTCATTGAAAAAAGAAAAGAAAAATATATTGTAATTAAAATAAAACACCACAAATACTTAACGTAAAACTTACCACCTTAATCTCTTCTTTTCGTATTCATTAAATACAACTTGTCAAAATGACCTCCTTGAAACACTGCTTTCAGAAACCTACCTAACAGCCTTCTGGTTGCCTATTTCAAACCACATAAATCTCTTTACTTTTGCTTTGAGGTGGACCCTGGATACAGAGAAGGAACTAAAGGTTTTTGTTTTTAATTTAAAAGATTCTCTTCATTTCGCCAATTCTACCTAGCAAGTCTCATTTTTTCTCTGCCTTCTGCTCTAATCAGATCACTTTTTTTGTGTGTCTCACGAATTTGCCATGCTCATCCTTGCCTTCCAGTCTTAGTTTTTTATGCCTTGAAAGCATCACACAGCAAATCTAGCTTTCACCTTTACAGCTTCTCATCAGTTAGACCCCATGGAAAAAATAATGAGGATAAGGCTGATAATGACAATGGTGGGGAGCTAGTATTGTGCACCCTGCACTGTACAAAGCCCTTTATGATTCCAGGTAGATTTTTCTGATCTCTGTCCTGAATTCTGAAAGCACTTGTAGCCTGTATTGTGTAAGTTACTTAATCATAGCACTTCTGAGTACCCGAAATCATATCAGGCATTTAGTTGTCCATCTGTTTATATTGTCTCTCCTCAGTAAAAATGGAAACTTCGTGAAGATAGACTTTTTCACCTACGTAGCTATTGCCACAGTTCCTGACAAATGGCACACATTTAGGATATATATGTTGGATAAATGAATGAATACAGCTTAGAATTATATGGGTACTTTCTATTACTGTATTTCATGTATATTATTCTTTTTCCAATAATAGTATGCCTTTTTTAAATTTGGTATTTGATACTTTAAGTTTGTATGGGATAGTATCCCCAAATACAGCAATATTGTTCTTCAATAAATAATTGGTAATTGGAGTACTGAGGACCTTGAAAAGTTGACTTGTTCTATTTCCAGAAAGGTAGATTTAAGGATACAAAATGTGAGAAAGGGGTAAAGTTAAACTCTTAAATGTTTTTATTTATTTGTATTCTAAAGCTACATTGAGCTGCCAATCCAGTTAATTTGTTGAATATCTATCCACACACTCATGCACACATAGTTTCATATTACTTTTGTGTACTGATGATATCTTTTATTGGTTAGTAGTCTATAAAGTTGGGAAATAGCAATTTGCACTTACTTTCTAAGTTAAGGTACATCTAAAACAAACATTTATATAATTTTTTACTGTTTTCTTAGAAATATTGTAAGATTGTTAATGACTGTTTATGGCTTTGTGAACTTAACTATATCCTTTGGGTATGGCAAGGAAGATGTCCAGTGTAAACATTTTGGATATGCCATAAGTTATTTAACCAGTCTTCTACTACTTGACATTCAGATCGGTAATAGTAATGTTAACAGCTAATACTAATATACCTCTTTATATACTAGGTGCAGTTGTCAGAACTTTACATATATTAACTCATTTAATTGTCACAATAACCCTAGGGGATAAGTAATGTTATTATCTTCATTTTACAGATAAGGAGACTAAGGCACAGACAATTTAAGTGATTTGTCCAAGGTGACACAGCTTGTAAGTATCAAGCCAAGTTTAATTTTTATTTATTTTTTTAAATATGTTTTTATTGATATTTTTTAAGTAAGGGAGTGAGAAAGAGAGAAGCATCGATTGGCTGCCTCCTGCATACCCTGTTCTGAGGATCAAGCCTGAAAACCCTGACCGGAGAGTTGAACCAGCCACCTCTTGGTGCATGGGATGATGTTCAACCAAGTGAGCCACACCAGCCAGGCAGAAGCCGGGTTTTAAACCTAGACAATCTGATTGTGGAGTTATATTTATATATTTTTTAAAATAAATAATGTCTCAGTAAGCATACCTATGTAGACTTATGCAAATATAGCCATCTATAGGATTATTCCTAGGAATAGAATTTCCTGGATCAAAAGAAAATTCATTTAAAATCTTGCTGGATATTATTTATTATCCTCTCAAGCAATTGGTATATCAGCAGTGTATGCTTCTTGTTCTACATTCTTGCCAATATTGTTTCTTACCAGATATATCATTATTGCTAGTTCAAATGATAAATAACTCTTGTGCCCTGGCTGGTTTCGTTTATCTGAAGAGTATCGGGTTCAATTCCTGGTCAAGGACACGTACCTCAGTTGTGGGTTCGATCCCCGGCTGCACTTGGGGTTGTGCAGGAGGCAGCCAATCAATGTGTCTCTCTTATGTTGATGTTTCTCTCTCTCTCTCTCTCTCTCTCTCTCTCCCCCGCCCCGTTCCTCCCATTCTATCTGAAAAAAATCAATGGGAAAATATCCTTGGGTGAGGATTTAAAAAGAAAAAAGAAAGAAAAATAACTTGTTTTTATAAGTTATGAGTAAGGTTAAGAATGCTTTTATTTCGCCCTGGTCAGTTAGCTCAATGGTTAGAGTGTCAACCCGCAGACCAAAGAGTCACGGATTCGATTCCATTCAAGGGCATGTACCTTGGTTGTGGTTCAGTCCCTGGCCCTTGTTGGGGTTGTTCAGGAGGGGACGGTGGATATGTTTCTCTCTCTCTCTCTCTCTCTCTCTCCCTCCCTCCTCCCACTCTATCTGAAGATAAAATGGAAAAATATCCTCGGGTGAGGATTAAAAAAGAAAAATGCTTTTATTTTTTATTTAAAAGGAATTTCTCAGTGTTTCTTTTTTCTTTGAATTCCCCATTTGTGTCCTTTGCCCATTTTTATTGTATTCTTTCGTTTGTTGTTTACCTTTATATTATAAAGTAAAAAACAGATATAAAACATCCTACAAAAAATAAAAATAAAACATCCTACACAAATAAATGTAAAGCTTATGAGTTTTTAAAAGGTGAACACCTTTCTCACCATGCAGATAAGAAATAAAGCTTTAGTCCAGCTGGTGTGGCTCAGGGTTTGAACACTGACCTATGCACCAGGATTCCCAGTCAGGGCACATGCCTGGTTGCAGGCTCGATCCCCAGTAAGGGGCATGCAGGAGGCAGCCAATCGATCTTTCCCTTATTATCAAAGCTTCCATCTCTCCCTTTCCTTTACTCTCTCTAAAATCAATAAAAACATATTTAAAAAAAAAAAAAGAAAACTTTCAAAATTCTCTTCATTTAGCCCATTCCAAACACAGCCCTCTCCCTCTTTCTACCTCCTTCTCTCCCTCCCTCCTTCCAAAAGTAATTGATATTCTGACTTTTTTTTAATCCTCACCCGAGGATATTTTTCTACTTATGATCAGATAAAGTGGGAGGAAGTGGGGGAGAGAGACAGAGAGAAACATCGATGTGATAGAGCCACATCTCGACTGGTTGCCTCCTGTACGACCTGACCAGGGCTGGGGATAAACCGCAACCAAAGTATGTACCCTTGACTGGGCTGATGCTCTAACCACAGCCAAACCGGCCAGGGCCTGACTTTTTAAAATATATTTTTATTTTTTTTTAATTGTTATTATTTTTTTAATTTTATTTATTTTTTTTGGTACGTGCCCCTAGCAGGAACCAAACCCGGGACTCTCTGGTCCGCAGGCTAATGCTCCAACTGCTGAGCCAAACCAGCCAGGGCTATTTTTATTGATTTTTAGAGAGAGAGGAAGAGAGATAGAAAGAGAGAGAAAGAAACATCAATGTGAAAGAGAAATATCAATTGGCTGCCTCTCGCACACACCCCAATGAGGGATCGAGCCCGAAACCTGGGCATGTGCTCTGACTGGGAATCAGTGCACAGGATGACGCTAAACCAATTGAGCCACACTGACCAGGGCAATATCCTAACTTTTATAAATGTTTTTCTTAGGTTTTGGGGTTTAAAATTTTAACTTTTTAATCAAGAGATTTATGCAGAATTTAAAAAAAATTTTGTACAGATATTTTGCTTAGTTTTTAGAAAGGCCTTTCCTAATCTAAGATTTAAAAAAAAAAAATCTCAATTTTTTTCCCTTTTTCATTTCTGTTTCAATTTTTTGAGGGCTGGATGAGTAATGTAAAGATGGAGATATATATCTAGGCCTATTTTTCCCCCCAAAATACTATGTAGTTTGTTAAAAAGAATGAGAGGGGTCTGTATGGGCCAAAATACATATACATAAAGAAAAAGGCAGTATAGTATATAAAATATGCTCCTATTTGAATTGTTCTTTCCCCTTAATTTGCATTGCCACCTCTGTCATAGATCATAGCTCTGTAAATGTGTACATCTAGAAGGGCTTTGCATTTGTTCCACTGTTTAATTTGCCTATCTATGTGCTAATTCCACACTATTATAATTAGTATAGTGTCATAATAAGTGTACTATCTGGTAAGGCAAGTCTTTCTATCTTATTCTTCATGAAAATCTTGGCTGTTTTTACCCTTTGGACTTTTATATGAAGTTTAGAATTAGCTTGACAAGTGCCATGAAAACAAACAAAAACTTGCAGAATTTTGTTAAAGATTTAGTAGATCCAATTGGAGGGAATGAACATCTGTATAAAATATTGAGCCCTCTAATCTATGAACATAATATATCTACTTAAGTCTTTAAAACCTCTCTATTGGTAAAAAGTTGATTAAGCAATATAAAACTCAAGTTCCATATGAATAAAAATATGGGGGGGGGGTGTTCTGGTTTGCACTTGGTGTTATAGGGTAAACATCCTCATTCTTTTTATTTTTATTCCTCACCTGAGGATACTTTTCCATTTAGATAGAGTGGGAAGAAGGGAGAGAGAAAAAGACAGAGAGAACATCGATGTGATAGAGCCACATCATCTGGTTGCCTCCCACATGACCCGACCAAGGCTGGGGATGAACCACAACCAAGGTATGTGCCCTTGGCCAGACTCGAACCCACGACTCATTGATCTGCGGGCTGATGCTGTTAACCGCTGAGCCAAAGTGGCCAGGGCGACATCCTCATTCTTTTTCTTTTTTAACTAACAGGCTTTATTCACTTTTTCTTTTTCTTTTTTTATTCTCACCCGAGGACATTTTTTGATATTTTGTTCAGATAGAGTGTGAGGGAGAGAGCGAGAAACATTGACGCAAAAGGGACACATCGAGTGGCTGCCACCCACATGACCCAACCAGGGCCGGGGACAAACCGCAACTGAGGTACATGCCCCCACTGGGAACTGAACCCGGGTCTCTCCAGACCGCAGGCCGACGCTCCAACCGCTGAGCCAAACCGGCTAGGGCTATTCACTTTTTTTTTGTATAAAATTATGTGGTGGCCACAGTTGGAGCCTGGGTCCTCTGCACAGAAACTCTGGTGTGGGTCTTTACAAGATGGTTGGTGAATTCCTGATAGGGAGACTTGGTGAACACAGTCTCTTTCCAGAGATCGGGGGTGAGATAACTGTAGGTCTTAGAGATGGCATCAAACGTGGCCTTGGCAAAGTTGCCCAGGGTGGCAGTGCAGCCCTGGCTGAGGTGTAGCAGTCGTCAATACCAGCCATCATTAGCAACTTCTTGGGTACAGGGGCTGAGACTATGCCAGTGCCCCTGGGGGTGGTGATGAGGCGCATCAGTACAGAGCCACAGCAGCCAGTCACCTTGCAAGGGACAGTATGGGGCTTGCCAATCTTGTTCCCCAGTAGCCTCGCCGCACAGGGACGATAGAGAGCTTGGCTAGGATGATGGCCCCACGGATGGCAGTGGCTACTTCCTTCGAGCACTTAACACCCAGAGCAACATGTCCATTGTAGTCCCCAGTGGCAACAAATACCTTGAACCGGTTCCTCTGGCCAGCATGTGTCTGCTTTTGCACAGGTGTAATCTGCAAAACCTCATCCTTGAGGGATGCCCCCAAGAAAAGTCAATGATCTCAGATTCCTTGATTGGCAAGGAGAAAAGATAGATCTCCTCCAGGGACTTGATCTTCATGTCCTTGACCAGGCGGCCCAACTTGGTGATGGGGATCCACTCCTTGTCCTCCGCCTTGCCTCCGCGAGCTCCCTGGCCACGACCTGGCCCCGATCCTGGCCGGGGGATGCTGCTGCCAAATCCTCCACGGAAGCCTCCGCGGCCTCCCAGGGCCCCCAGGGCCCCCAGGGCCTCCGGGCCCTCCTGCAGCACTGGCCTCATCTGCCATTTGGTGTTTCCTCAGGAAAGAAGCGACATCCTCATTCTTTATTGCTTTGTTCACCTCCTTAAAATTGCTCAACTTTGAATCTCATGTCATCAGACTTTATTACCAACCACTCCTCCTTATAGCAGTCTAGCAAGATTATATCATACTTTTTCATTCCTTGAAGATTTTTTTTTTTAAATCCTCACACCAGGACATTTTAAAAATTTATCTTCAGGTAGAGTGGGAGGGAAGGAGGAAGAAACATCATTGTGAGAGAGACACATCAACTGGTTGCTTCTCACATGACCCCGATCAGGGCTAGGTACCTGCAATCAAGGTACCTGACCTTGACCATAATCGAACTCATGACTCTCGGTCTGTGGGCCAATACTCTAACCACTGAACAAACCAACCAGGGCCATTCCTTGAAGATTTTTAGCTCCTAGCTCACTGTCACACTCTGCAACACTACTGTCATAATTCTTGGTGCTCTGAATATCCATCTAGATGATTCATCCAATAACCTGTTTTGTTTTGTTTTTCTTGACCCCCTTCCTCTAGTGATTATATTCTCTATCTTACCTTAGTTATTTACTCCTATAGTCACAGCTGAGAGATTTGTCATTCTTTCACTTTGGTTCTGCATCTATGCTGGTACACTGTAGGGGAAAACATAAAACCATGTTCTAGTTTCACTTTAAGTTCATGAATACTAATCTCAATTGGGACTTTAATACTACTCCATAATCCTATTTCACCTTATCTCATCTCTTATAGTTCTATTTTATGTACTATTTCTTCCCTTCTGCTCTTAAACCTCCAGTGCTTTTTTCTCCATCCTCATTCACAGTTGATAACCTTAGTTACCATTTTACTGAGAAAAGAGAAGTAACCCAAATAGAACTTCCAAGTTTAACCAAGCTCCTACTAACACATCTACTCACTTACCTGCTTCTGTGCCCTTAATATTCTGCCTACCTTTCTATTAAAATGAATGAATCAATGAATCAATCAATCAATCAATCAATCAATCTTAAACCAACCTCTCTACTTGTGTACTGGATCCCATTTCTCTTCCTTCTCTCCTTTCTCTTCTGCATCACCAGTATTTCCTTCTTTAACTGTATCAAATAAAGATGGTATATTTTCTCCCACCTTGAAAAAAAGAAAAAAATCTCTTGATCCCATATCTCCCTCCAACTGGTACCTTATTTCTCTTTTTCTTTAAAGAAAAAAACTACTGAAAATATTTTAGATACTGGATATGTCCAGTTCCCTTCTATTTTCTCTTGTATCCACTCCAATTGGGCTTGCACTCCTACCATTCTACTAAAAGTACATTTATAAAGGTGAACAATGGCCTCGTTTTTGCATATTTACTTCAGTGCAATTGTTGTGACAAATCATCCCAAAACTTAGAGGTACAAAACAACCTTTTATTGGGCTTTGCAATTCTGTGCATCAAGCATTCAGACAGGACTCACAGTCGTCAGAAAACTTGTGCACATGCATATCTGGTAGTTGATTGGTTGATGCTAGCTGTTGGCCAGGAACCTTAGTTCCTTTCTATGTGCCCTTCCCCATGTAGTCTCTTCATTTAGTTTAGGCTTCATCACAGCATGGTGGTTGGTTTGCAAGGATGAGTGTTCCTAAAGAGAGACAGATGTAAGATATTTTGCATTTTATGACTTAGTCTTGGAAGTCATGTAGCATCACTTCCATTGTATCCTATTCATAAAGGCAGTTAGAAATTCATACTCAAGTTCAAAGGGAGGATAAATAGGCTTTGCTTCTGGATGGGGAGTGACGACCTGCAATATTATGCTGTGACAATTTTTGAAAAATACAGTGCCCTATCAATATTGCTAAATAAATTGTCAGTTCTCTGGTTTTATTTTACTTGACCTATCTCTAGTATTTGATAGTTCATTACTCCTTCTTTGAACACTTATCTTGGATTTCAGGATATCATATTCTTGATTTTTCTCTTACCTTACTGGGCACTCCTTCTCAGACTGGTTAGATGGTTCTTTCTTATCTCCTAAGTCTCTCCAGGTATAGACTTTTCTCATTTCTATCTCATTTCTATTCATAGTAACATTAAATAAATGTCACATATACATTGTTATAATTCAATATCTGCATACTCTATTGCATGCTCACCACCTAGAGTCTGGTTTCCTTCTGTTACCATATATGACCCCCTTTATGCAATTCACCCTCTTCCCTACCCTCTTCCCATTTGGTAACCACCATTCTGTTGTCTGTATCTATAAATTTGTTTTTATTTGCAAATCTGAATTCTTTTAAATTTCTCTTATATTTAAATTTATTTTAGAGAGAGGAAGGGGGAAGAGAAAGAGAGAGAAACATCAATGTGAGAGGAACATAGATCAGTTGCCTCCCACACACGCCCCATCTGGGAATAGAACCTGCAACCCAGGTATATGCCCTGATCAGCAACTAAACCCGCCATCTTTTGGTGTATGGGACCATGCTCCAACCAACTGAGCCATACTGGCCAGGGGTCAAAACTGAATTCTTTATTTTTTAAATTTAAAAAACTTTTTCAATCCTCACCTGAGGACATTTTTTTTCTATTTATCTTCAGATAGAGTGGGAAGGGGGGAGAAAGAGAGAGAAACATCGAGGTGAGAGGGACACATCGACTGGTTGCCTCCTGCAAGACCCAACCAGGGCCAGGGACGAACCGCAACCAGGGCCAGGGACGAACCGCAACCGAGGTACGTGCCCTTGTCCAGAATTGAACCCGTGACTCATTGGTCCAAAGGCTGATGCACCAACCACTGAGCCAAACCGGCCAGGGCAAAAACTGAATTCTTAATCAGCAGTAGCCCACATCTTGCTAATAATATTTCTTCCACCATCATCCCCATCTCAAACTGGCAACTCCATTTTTCCAATTGCATGAGTCCAAACATTTTTAGTATTAATTGACTTCTCTCTTTCTTTGACATTATATGCAGACTATTAGGAAACCCTATTGGCTTTCTCTTGAAAATATATTCAGAATTGGACATTTGGTACTGCCTAAGTATCATCCTGGTACACATCTTACTTGGATTATTGCAATAGCTTTCTTTGTGGCTTTCCTGTTTCTCTCCTTACTTGACTGTAGTTAACCAGAGTTGTACTTTTAAAATGTAATTTAAGTCATGTCATTCCTCTGTTCAGAACACTTTAATCACTTGTTATCTCAATCTAAGTCCTTAAAATGGCCTAAAGCCCACATGATTTCATCTCTGTTATCTCTCTGACCTCATCTTGTGTTCTCTATCTTACATCTTCTGCTATATCACACTGGCTGTTTTACTGCTCCAGGAATAGAGCAGTCATATTCCTGCCCGTAGGCCTTTGCATTGGCAGATCCCTCACCTGGAGCCTCTTCCTCTAAATATCACGATGTCTCACTTCCTTATTTCCTTTATGTTTTTGCTCAGTTCTCAACTTCTCAGGGACTTTATATGACCTCTTTATATAAAATTACATTGCCTCTTCCCCAGCACTGGCTATGTTTCTTCCCTGCTTTGATTTTCTTCATAACACTTATAACTCATTTTATATACTACAGTATGCATTTTTAAGTTTTTTTGGCTTATTTTTGTTTTCCTTAACTAGAATGTAGGCACTATTGTAGGAGGGATTTTTACCTATTTTGTTCACTGTTACATCTTCAGCTCCTAGGTGAGTATCTGGCAGGTAATAGGTGTTCAACAAGTATTGTGAAATGAATAAATATTTTTTTTCTGTAGTTTTTCTTATAAGGCTGAGAAAATTATAAGGCACATGTCAGAGAATAACCAAGACCTAGATCCAGACTGTACTACAGATGTAGAAGATGTTACAAGGGCTAAAGAAGAACTCATTAAAAAATGTGAAGAAATGTGGAAAGATATGGAAGAAGTAAGTATCAAGAGGTTAAAGTGATATATCAATTAATTACTGTGAGGTTTAATTCCATTTCAATAATAGACTTAAGAAAGAAATAATTCTGCTGATTCCTGAATCATATGGTGTAATAAATATTTATATAGTTTTAGATCTATATCCCTTTATTCAATGGGGTTTTTCTGGGATGAACTATAACAAAAGAAAAAAATTACAGCAGTCCCTACCCTCAAGGAGATTATCATCTAATGGAGGCAGTAACCATTATATTAAAAGTATTATGGTAGAAGTTTAGGTTTTGGAGGAGTCGAGGATGAAGTCCTAAAAGAGGTAGTGACTGAATGCATTTCTAAAGGATAAATAGGAGCTAGCTTGTGAAAGTGGGAGACGTATACAAAGTACAAGGAACGAAATCTATAAATTTGGGAAGTACAGAGAACTCCTTGTAAAATATTATGACTTATATAAATTAGGAGAAGAAGGACTTGTGGAATGAAACGAGAGGAAATTAGGGGCAAGAACATGACTGATTTTTTTTTTTTTATCCTCACCCGAGGACATTTTCCCATTTTTCAGATAGAGTGGGAGGGGGAGAGAGGAAGAGAGAGAGAGAAACATCAACGTGAAAGGTACACATCAAGTGGCTGCCACCCGCACAACCCAACCAGGGCCAGGGACAAACTGCAACCGAGGTACGCGCCCTTAGCGGGAAACGATCCCGGGTCTCTGGATCGCAGTCTGATGCTCTAACCGCTGAACCAAACTGGCCAGGGAGCCACTAAAGGACTATAAATATGAAGTGACATGATGAGATCAATAGTGTGGGAAAATTACTCTGGTGGTGTTGAAGAAACTGGAATGCAGAAGAGTGAGACTACAGGTACAAAGAGTATTTCAGAGGCTGCAGTAGTAGTCCTGGTAAGAAGTCCTGAAGGGCTAAATCCTGTCATTGCAAATAGAAGAATGTATTCAGGAGATATTAAGGAGGTAGGACCAAAAGGACTTGGAGATTAATTGTTGTGAAAAGGGGGAGTTATGGATAGTTTCAGGTTCTTGGTTTGGGCCAGTGGGTGGTTAGTGGAATTATTTCCTAAGATAGAGAATATAGAAGTGAAGATGACATACAATTATGGAGTTTGAGTAAAAATATATGTTAATTTAAGCAATACTGTTTTTGAAATATATGTACATTTTTTGAGTTGGTGAGATACAATCACTTCTGGTACACTAGTATTTTAGTGAAAATTTGTTCTACTTGAAATAGCATAGTATATGATATAGGCCATAGACATTTTTCACATTCTATTCTTCCCAGTAAATTCCCAGATTAGGGCAGATTAGTGCCCCCCCCCCTTTTTTAAAAATTATTTTTAGCATAAATCGTGGTACTCTGTGTTGTTAATGTATTTTCAAGATAATTTATATAATCCTGTTTTGTTTTGCTTTTGATATTTTTTCAGTGTAGAAATTTGATTAATTTTTTTGGAAATTTGATTTTTAAAATATATTTTGTAGAAAGATACTGCATCTGATCATAAATTCCTAAATGGATAGGTCAGGGTGGTTAGTCATGCCCAAGGCATGCAACTTTTCAGGAACAGTTTGTCTTTGCCTTAAGCAGGCTCTGTCCATTGTTTCAGTGCAGTAGGTTAACATACCTTTGAAATAACCACCCTTAAGAGAGCACAGATAAATGAAATCATATGGTATTTGTCTTTCTCTGTCTGACTTATTTCACTTAGCGTAATACTATTCTAGAACCATCCATACTGTTGCAAATGATAAGATTTCATTTTTTATGGTCATTGTAGGTATGTACCAAAGTTTTTTTATCTACTTGTCTATTGATGAGTACTTGGGTGGCTTCCATCTTGACTATTGTAAATAATGCTGCATATCTCTTTTCAAATTAGTCTTTTTGGTTTTTTGAATATATATTCAGAAGTGGAATTGCCGGGGGTTAAGGGACTGGATGTAAAAGGTGAAGGGGATTAAGAAATACAAATTGGTAGTTAGAAAATAGTCATGGGATATAAAGTACAGCATAAGGAATATAGTCAATAATAGTGTAATAACTATGTAAAGTGGGTACTTGTAATATCAGAAGGATCACTTTGTAAATTATATAATTGTCTAACTACTATGCTGTATACCTGAAACTAATATAAAATAATACTGAATGTCAACTGTAATTGAAAAATAAGTCCAACCGGTGTGGCTCAGTGGTTGAGCATCGACCCATGCACCAAGAGGTTGCCGGTTTGATTCCTAGTCAGGGCACATGCCCGGTATGTGGGCCCGATCCCCAGTGTGGGGCATGCAGGAGGCGGCCAGTCGATGTTCTCTTTCATCAATGTTTCTCTCTCTCCTCTCCCTCTCTCTCTCTCTCAAATCAATAAAGGAAAAAAGAAAAAGAAAAATAAGAAAAAAAGCCCTGGCCGGTTTGGCTCAGCGGTTAGAGTGTCAGCCTGCGGTCCACAGAGACCCGGGTTTGGTTCCCGCTAAGGGCATGTACCTTGGCTACAGTTTGTCCCCGGCCCTGGTTGGGTTGTGTGGGTGGCGGCCACTCGATGTGTTCCTTTCACATCGATGTTTCTCTCTCTCTCTCTCCCTTCCACTCTATCTGAATAAAAAGTGGAAAAATGTCCTCTGGTGAGGATAAAAAAAAAAAAAGAGCCCTGGCCAGTTTGGCTCAGTGGTTAGAGCGTCGGCCTGCGGTCCGGAGAGACCCGGGTTCGGTTCCCGCTAAGGGCACGTACTTCGGTTGCAGTTTGTCCCCGGCCCTGGTTGGTCGTGCGGGTGGCAGCCACTCGATGTGTCCCTTCACGTCGATGTTTCTTTCTCTCTCTCCCTTCCTCTCTCTCCCTCCCACTCTATCTGTACAAAAAATGGAAAAATATCCTCGGGTGAGGATAAAAAAAAAAAAAAAAGAAAAAAAGAAAGCCCAGCCCAGCCAGTGTGGCTCAGTGGTTGAGCATCGACCCATGGACCGAGAGGATGCTGGTTCGATTCCCAGTCAGGGCACATGCCCAGGTTGTGGGCCTGATCCTTAGTGGGGAGCGGCAGAAGGCAGCTGATTGATGTGTCTCTCTCATTGATGTTTCTCTCTCTCTTCCTTTCTCTCTAAAAGTCAATAAAAATATATTTAAAAGAAAACATAATCTTGTTAACTATTGTAATCCAATACCCCACCTTGCTCTCTCCCACCTTCATATACATTCCCTCTTTAATTTCAAATGCATAAAAGAAGTTGCAAAACTGTTATTCTCTAGAGCATTTGAGATCTTGCTCCACGGCCTATATCATTTATTTGGCTTGGATAAACTCTTATAAATTTTTTTAAAATACTGTAAATAGAAATAACCACAAATAAAATTTAAATTACTCATAATTTTATTCAGATGTAATCACTATTAACAGTTGTGGATTTTTAAAAAAAAATTTTTTTTTAATTCTCACCTGAGGACATTTTTCCATTTTTGTTCAGATAGACTGGGAGGGAGAAAGAGGAAGAGAGAGAGAAAAACATCTATGTGAAAGGGACACATTGAGTGGCTGCCTCCCACATGATCCCAACCAGGGCCGGGGACAAATTGCAACGAAGGTATGTGCCCTTGACTGGAATCGAACCCATGACTCATTGGTTAGCGGGCTGATACTCTACCGCTGCGCCAAACTGGGCAGGACGAAACCTCATCAGAAGGTATTTTTCCATTGATTTTTTTAGATAGAGTGGAAGGGAGGGAGAGAGAGGGGGAAAAAAAAAAAATCACTGTAGGAGAGACACATCAATTGATTGCCTCCCACACGGCCCTGACTGGGACTATGGACAAACCTGCAACCCAGGTATGTGCCCTTGACTGGGAATTGAACCCAAAACCCTTTGGTCCTTGACCCAATGCTCTAACTGCTGAGCCAAACAGACCAGGGCCTTTTTCCCTTATTTCTCATACTCATTTTTTAATTCTGTATAGAGTCTAATTACCATTTTACTTTCAATGTAGTCATCTTGGGACCTATTTGGCTGCCTTCCTTGTCTTCTTGCTTAGAAACTGAGGAATTAAAAAAATATGTTGTATTACATCAGATAATTGTGTATTGTTTTAAAGGAGTATCACATTGACTGGTTTAAAAGGGGAGGGAGAGGAAATTTTGGGTTATAGTGTGTGACTTGTTTTTTTTTTTTACTTTTTAAATTAAGTGTCAGAATAAAATATCGCTTGTTGGAACCGAGACACTCACTGATTCCAATGCTCAGGTATGAATCCTTTTTGTCTTTGGAATTCACTGTTTTGAATAAGAAGTTTATCTTCTTTAGTTTTTCCAATTATAATAGTTTTGTTAATACCTGTATGCTTAATCATTTGGATAATTCCTGATTTGAGAAGTATTTTTAAAACCTTCTTAAATAAGCTGTTATAAATAAATAAGAATATTTTTTTATTTTATTTGTCTTTTCACAGCTACACATACTTTTAATTGTTGAGTCAATTGTCCCTCAGCTTTTATTATGATACTTTGTTAAAAATTAGAACAAAGACTTTTCTGCTTTGTGTTAGATACAGTAGCCACAGTTATTTTACTATCTGTGTGGAATCTTAACTGATTTTACCCTAGGCTTAAAAAAAGGATTAAGATATCTGTTTTAATGATCGACCTATGGAATTGACTTAGGAATATACCAAACAGTCAATGCAACAGATTAAGAATTTAAAATATGACAAACATGATAGTTCCAATGTATGAGAAAGGGATGAATTAGTTAATGAATGATACTGGTACAACCTGATATCTGTCTGGGAGAAAATAAAATCCAACCTCCGTATTTCATTATATAAAAAAGTCCTAGGTGGATTGCCACAAAAATCTTACAAGAAAAGTGAGGAGACTGAAATCTAATGACAAAGGTGAACTTAGCTATTAACAAAAGTCTAGACATTATAAAAGAATACTTAGATATATTTGATCATATAAAGAGTGAAAAATGTTTCAGTAATAAAAATTCTAAGAACAAAAATATACAAATAATTCCAGTGAAAGTTCTCCAAAATCGGTGGGAGCATGCCAAAAGATAATTGAAGGCACTCCAGAAAGTATTACTTGAACATCAAAAGTAATAATGGCCTAAATTCATTATAACAATATGAAAAAGTTATAATCTATGAGCAAAATAATATTCAATAAAAAATGAGAATGAGAGAAAGAAAGAAGAGGGGGAAAAACTAATTTGTCACTTTTGGAAGTACATGTTACATCAGATCTGTAATCTAAAAATTGGTGATAAAGAAGCCACCAATAAATATAGAGTTCTGTTGTACAGGGTAAAACTGCATCATGTATTTGGAAGAACATTCGTATATAAACTATCATCTGTTTTTCTTGGGAAATGTGGTTTTTAATTGTGTAGAAATTGATACCTACTGAATCAATTAGTAGGGATTGGGCCTATACCTTTCCTGAATGATTTTCATGCAGTGAAGCAAACACTGGCTTTGAGGGTGTTACTTAATGTAATTGCAAATAATCAGTATCTTGAGATAGTCAATAATAACATCTACTGAATCCGCCAAATGTCTTTTCCTATGGTGTTGAGGGCCCCCAAGATTACTTTCAGGTTTGATGGTTCTGTAAGAGGACTCACAGGACTCAATGTATAGTAAACGTAATGGCCGAGATTTATTACTATGAAAGGTTACAAAGTAAAGTCAGTAAAGGGAAAAGGACCATGGGGTGATGTCCAGAGGAAACCAGGCACACACTTTCAGGAGTCCTCTCCTAGTGGAGTCACACAAGACATGCTTAATTCCCCCAGGGATTTGTGACAATGTGTTTGAAATGTTATCTGCCAAGGAAACTCATTAGAGACTCAGTGCCTAAAGTTATTTGTGGGGGCTAGTCACATAGTGTCCTCTGCCTAGCAGTTATCAAAATACCAGATTCCCAGAAGGTAAGCTGGTCTTCAGCGTAAGTCATATTCTTTGCACAGTTTAGGCACAATGAGCCACTGTCCAAATTCCCAGATGCCAGCCTTGCAAACAGGCCTTTAAGGATAATCTTAGGACTTGCTTTGTTAACTCTTTTCTATACACCTATTAGACTTAAAATCTTCAATATTAAAACTTACTTCATTTTCTAAAGCAAGAAGTTGGATATATATATTTTTTTAATTTTTATTTTTTTTATCCTCACCCAAGGACACTTTTTCCATTTGTTGTTCAGATAGAGTGGGAGGGGGAGAGAGAGAGAGAGAGAGAGAAAGAAACATCGACATGAAAGGGACACATCGAGTGGCTGCCACCCGCACAACCCAACCAGGGCCGGGGACAAACTGCAACCGAGGTACGTGCCCTTAGCGGGAACTGAACCCGGGTGTCTCAACCACAGGCCTACGCTCTAACCGCTGAGCCAAACTGGCCAGGGGGATAAGTTGGATATTTTAAATGAGGAAATTACAGGATATCTCAATTTTTTATGTTTAAATAACTTTAGAAATATTACTGTAAGTGTGTGTGTGTGTATATGTATATATGTATTTTGTTTTTTAAAGAAAGGGTTGTTTAATTTTATAACAAGATAAAAAATAATTTGAGTGTTTGCCTTAGTTGGGCTTTGGTAAGTTAAGACCTGTGTTTCATCAACATTGTATGAGCTTGAACAGTATGAAGTACTGTTTTTCAATAGGTGAAAAATTGAATATCAGTGATTTTATATATTTTAAACTAATATGTGAAGAAAATGATATTAATTCTTTATATTGATATAAAGAATTATTATATGATAGTTTTGCCTAGTTTAAATACTACTTTTTAAGAATTTGTTATCACTTCCTAATAATGATAATAACATTTATAAATCACTTTATAGTTAATAAACTTCTCAGATTCTTATTTAGTTATCTTTAAGAAAATAATATTGAACTCTCCTATGGAAAACAATTTAAATACCTGCAAATGCATTTTTATATAACTATATGAAGTTTTCAAAGAGACTAGGTTTTGTTTTTGTTTTTTACCTCTGACTCTTCAACGTTATAATACAGGTCAGGGTCTTTGAGCTACTTGCTCTGTATCATAAAAATCAGTTAAGAGCCATGAGGTGAGGACTCACAGTATGCTTAGGCTTCAAAAGAGGCTTGCCTCCAGCATCCTCCGCTGTGGCAAAAAGGAGGTCTGGTTGGACCCCAATGAGACCAATGAAATCGCCAATGCCAACTCCCCTCCGCAGATTCGGAAGCTGATCAAAGATGGGCTGATCATCCGGAAACCTGTAACTGTCCATTCTCCGGCTCGAAGCAGGAAAAACACCTTGGCCCGCAGGAAGGGCAGGCATATGGGCATAGGTAAGCGAAAGGGCACTGCCAGTGCTCGAATGCCTGAGAAAGTGACCTGGATGAGGAGGATGAGAATTCTTCGCCGGCTACTCAGAAGATACCGTGAATCCAAAAAGATCGACCGCCACATGTACCACAGCCTGTACCTGAAAGTGAAGGGTAACGTGTTCAAAAACAAGCGGATTCTCATGGAACACATCCACGAGCTAAAGGCAGACAAGGCTCGCAAGAAGCTTCTGGCTGACCAGGCTGAGGCCCGAAGGTCTAAGACCAAGGAAGCTCATAAGCGCCGTGAAGAGCGGCTCCAGGCCAAGAAGAAGGAAATCATCAAGACTCTGTCCAAGGAGTAAGAGACCAAGAAATAAAGCTGTGCCTCTCTTACCTGTACATAGTGGCCTTGGCAATTACATGGATCAGTCATTTAATAAAAGTAGCCTTCATCTAAAAAAAAAATCAGTTAAAAAAGACAATACTTTGTGTTCTTTTAGTGTAAATATTAAAGTAATACTGCATTTTTCAAATGTGAATTATTTTGTTTTGCTGCTAATAAGAATTATATAGAGGAGATAAAAATGTGCTGAAATTTAACTTTAAGCTTACATAGACTTTAATTTTGTGGTCTAATCAGGCAACAGATTTATCACATAGATTTGTAATTACCAAAATTACAATGATTGTAGCCACCTAATATGAGAACCATATTCATCCTAATTTATCTTTAGCTAAAAGGGTATACAGTTTACAGACTATTGTGTAGTAAAACTGGTTTTTATGTGTGGCTTGTGGAACCAGTCTCATTTTATAATTGTTTCTATATATGTATTTGAAGTTATTTTTTGCTACTCAGCTAAAACAGTTTCAATTTTTCTGAAAGTGCATAGAGAGGAAACAGAGCATCTTTAATGCAAATCTGTCTAAAAATTATTGGCAAGAAGTAACATCCTTTAAAAAAAATAGTTTAGGGAATAAACTTAATGTACTTAGGTTCTTTTATTTTATGTTAAATAGTGAAGTAGAATTGATCGTTTTTTAATACTATATCACTGATATAACTGGCAGTTTATGAGCTATAATTAATATGGTTTAAAGCAGAATTCTGGAGTGATAATTTTTTATAGTTTCGATGGATATATGTTAACCATTTATGGCAAGACCTTGTATTAAAGTATTAAGAATGTCTACACATTCATCTATGAGTAGTTATGAATATTCTACAAGGAATGATTTTGTTTTATGCTCTTGTGTTTTTTTTTATAGCTGTCATTATTAATCATGCAAGTGAAATGTTTAACTGCTGAACTCAGTCAATGGCAGAAAGAAACTCCTGAAAGTAAGATCCTTATTTTTAGGTTTATATTTTTGTAAACAAAGGAATGATCACAAGAAGAATTATAAGATCCATTTAGCATTTGCTATATTGCATTGATATTAGGAATTTACCTTATTTTTATTTCTTTATATACATTATTTTGTGCTTATTTTACTATAATAGATGAACATATGTGTCTCACATTATAATAATTTTGATTATGGAGACATTTTTGCCACATTTCATCCTCATAGACACAGTCTTATATGCTAAGTAGAAACTATAAATTGTTTCTTAATGAATGAAACTTACCTAGTGGAAAGGTATTTTAGATGCTTATTTATGGAAGGGCTACATAAATTGCATGTGGCCTTTTGACTTGTCAGACTAAAACCAACTATATTTTTGCCTTTAGTTGAGAAATAGAAGATGGCTTAAAAATCTGTAGTTATAACACCCAACTAGGACATATTTTTCTGTTATGAGAGCCTACATTTCTCTATGCCATATATATCTGTGTATGGTATTCTGTATGGATTATACCCTCTTTTTCCATATATGTCTCCCTTCTTTCTGCTTATTCTATCCTTTCCTTTAACTCTCCCCGTTCCTTTCTTAGTCTCATTTGTAAGCTTATCATTCTCTGTCCTAGTTATTGGGAGTCTTTTTTCTTCATTCTCTTCCTAGACAATTTCATCTGCATTCTTTGTCATAATTACTGTATTGATGCCAATGTCTACCATTGTTCCACATCCTCCCTCCCACATAGTATCTTCTTAATTTTAGCACACACATACAATTGTGATTTTCATTTGCATCCAACTATATATTCTGTTGCCTTGTGAGCATTATATTGAGCATCTCAAAAGCTGCTCATACTCTGCTTTTAAAATTTGTTGTTCTCTAGAGGACTGTACTCAGCTCTTATCGCTTCTTACTCTAAATGCTGTTCCAGCATTATATTTTCTGATCCTGTTTTTGTGTGTTATGTCTTCTAGATTAGGTTGCTAACTTCTAGATTAGAGTGCTAGGGTTGCCATTTCAAAGTACCATGGACTGGGTTTTTAAATAACAGAATTTTATTTTCTCACAATTCTGGGGACTAGAAGACCAAGATCAAGGTATTATTTTCTTCTGAGGTCTCTCTTTTTGGGTTATAGATTGCCATCTTCTCTCTGTGTCTTTATGTGGCCACCCATCTGTATCCTGATCTCTTTGTATATGACCTCATTTTAAATTAATTACCTTTTCAAAGACCAAATTCCAAATATAGTCATATTCTGAGGTACTGGGGATTAGGACTTCAACATTTCAACTTGCGGAGTCAGGTGACACAATTTTTATAACAATTTCCAAAACTATCCAAACCAGATTTTACTGTAGTGTCATGCTTATATATCTTTCTAGCTTCTAGACATCTTTCCCAAAATATTCTGTAGGTACCTCTGATTCATGAACTGGTCTTCATTCCCTGACCTATTGAATTTTCTGACCTATTGATATGCCAAAAATTTGAGTACTTCTAGTTTCTTCCTTTTTTATGTTTCATATACAGCCAGTCATAAAATATTCAACCTTATTGCCACAGATTTACTTTAGGCCTTCATTCCTAATCCATTAGTTATTATAATAGACTTTTTACTTCTCAATCAAGATTTCTTTTTAGGCCCTGGCCAGTGTGGCTCAGATGGTTGGGTGTCGTCCCATGCACTGAAAGGTTGCTGGTTTTGTTTTCGGCTAGGGCACATGCCCAGGTCGTGGGCTCAGTACCCAGTGTGGAGCATGCAGAAGGCAGCGGATTAATGTTTCTCTCTCACATCAGTGCTACTCTCTCTCCTTCTCCTTTCTTTTCCCTGAAAAATCAATAAAACATCTTTTTTAGAAAAAGTTTTGTTTTAGTTGGAGATTTTCAAATTTAAAAGAAAGTTAAAGGCCTGACTTTATTCTTTTACATGTGTATTATCTCATTTTCCCAGTAACGTTTGTTGAGGAAATTGACCTTTTTCTCACTGAATTATCTTGGCACCCTTGTCAAAAATCATTTGACCATAGAGTGAGGATTTATTTCTGAGCACTTTATTCTGTTGGTCTATATGTCTTTCTTCATGCCAATAGCACATGTTTTATTACTGTAGATTTGTAGTTGGAAAGTAGGATGTCTGAGACCTTTCTAACTTTGTTCTTCTTTTTAAAAATTGTTTTGGCTATTTGAGATTCCATGTGAACTTTGGGATGGATTTTTCTATTTTTACAAAAAATATCACTGGGAATTTGATAGGGATTACACTGAACCTGTAGATTGCTTTGGGTAGTATTGACATCCTAACAACAATAAGTCTTCCAGTCCTTGAACATGGAATGTATTTCTATTTCTTGGTGTCTTTAATTTCTTTCAGCAACATTTTATAGTTTTCAGTGTATAAGTCTTTTCCTTCCTAGGTAAATTTATTCCTAAATATTTTATTGTTTTTGATGCTCTATGTCAGGGAATTTTTAATTTTTCTTTTTCTTATTTTCATCATCCCTGACATATACACTTGGTACTGGTAACAATGAATACACAGACTGCCCTGTTGGTCAAATATATACCTTGCTTAGGGTTGTCAGTGCCATAGGCTGCCACAGAGGAAGGATTTAGAAAAATCTTTGTATTCTTAGAACCTACCATATTGTATTGGTTGAAATAGTTGTTGGAATGAATATTGAAATGCTACTATTGGCTACACTAAGAGGGAGATTTTAAAACTTTATGTTCTTAGAATCCTCACTGCATTTGTTGAAATGATTGAGTATATTCTGTGGCTACCTATAATCAGTTTTAAGACGGGACCTATGAAACACATGTAGGAAGCTCTGGCCTGTTAGAGGATCCTCTTGGATAAGCAGATAGCTTAGAAAGTTTTCGGTAGCATATCATTTGAGGAATTTTAAATAACATTTTATTAAGAAAGGTAATATTCTAAGTATAAGGGTTGAAGTTTTATTTTTTTTCTTTATTGATTTTAGAGAGAGAATAGAGAGAGGGAATAAGAGAGAAACATCAATGAGAGAACATCAATTGGCCTCCTCCTGCATGCCCACCATTGGGGATTGGGCCCACGACCCAGGCATGTGCCCTGACCAGGAATCAAACTGGGATCTCTTGGTGCATGGGATGATGGTCAACCTCTGAACCACACCAGCTGGGCAGAGTTGAACTTTTATAACTATAAGGATTTAATTTTGCTATACAAAGTTAAAATGAAATATTCTACTCATCAGACTGGCAAAAATTTTAGACAGGTTTATAATATCTTTTGCTGTTTGTTTTTTTTAAATTCATTACTCACAGAAATTTTTAGAAAAGAATCTTGCATCTTATATTAAAATTCAAAATACACATTTCTTTTGTGAAATTCCATTTCTGGGAATTTCTTTCATAGTAATGAAAACACCAATACAGAAAGACATAAATAAAAGAATGCTTACTGCATTTTTGTTTTTTGTTTTTTTACAGCTAAAAATTAGACACAAAATTAATGCTCAGTTAATAGCAAAATAATTTAATGCATTATGGTATATTTACCCTATGGAATATTGTGCAGTGATTTAAAATTATGAATTAGATTTACACTAGATGACTAGAAAGGTTTTCCATGGGGGTTATGTTGAGTGAAAATAAGATAAAAATAACATGTATGATAGGATCCCATTCTTGTAAAACCAGCATTGACAAAATTAATAACCCTTGCATTTTGATGTACAGATGTGTAATGTATCCATATATATGTATGTATGAATAGGATCCTATAGAAGGAATATACTAGAGATTATTCATTTTGATTTTTAATGATTGGGAAAACAAAAGAAAAAGACACTAGAAACAAAATGCATGATATCACATTTGTCTAAAATAATATATAAGTTAGTTATATATAAAGCTGTTAAATAAAAATAATTTCATAAATTGTACATGTATCATAAAAAGTTCTGTAACATTAAATGAAATGGGAAAGGTGTATCTGAGAAACTACAAAGTCAAATTCTTGATTTTTGAGAGTTAACTAAGCATATGTATAATTTTTTATTTGTTTGTTTGTTTATGTAGTACTTCCACTGAATGAAGAAATTCTGTTAACATTAGGAAAAGAAGAGGTAAGTTACTTAATGAATTTGTAGTAACCCTAAATAATTTATCAATATAAATGTTTTATATAAATTTATGACATAAGAAGTAGGATGCAACCAATTTAAAACCATGTTAATTTTCTATTTTAATTTTAATTATGTTGTATTTAACAGAATATTTTACTTTATTTTTTGGACCTTTGTATTTTATTGCTGATATTTTTTTAAATAATTTTTTATTTTTCAATTACAATATTATAGTAGTTTCAGGTGTACAACCTGATGATGAGACATTTATATAATTTATGAAGTGATCATATTCCATTGTGTATGTACTACTTCTTCATTGTCCATTTGTCTATTGATGGGCATTTAGGTTGCTTACATATCTTGGCTATTGTAAATACTGCTGAGTGAACATACAGATATATATGTCTTTTCGTTGGTGTTTTGAGTTTCTTGGATAAATACCCTGAAGTGTAATTTCTAGGTCCTCCTTTTTCTCTTGTTACAGCCTTTATTTTAAAGTCTGTTTTGTCTGGTATAAATTATTGCTAACCCAGCTTTTTTTTTACCCTTTCATGAAATATCTTTTTCATCTCTTTATGTTTAGTCATTATCTTCTAATCTGAAGTGAGTTTCTTGTAGACAGCTTGTGTATGGGTCTTGTTTTCTTATCAGTTCAACTACCCTGTGTCTTTCAATTGGAGCATTTTGTCCATTTGTATTTAAAATAATTGTTGATAGACATGTATTTATTGCCATTTTATTATTCATATTTTTTATCTGTCTTTTCCTTCTCCGTAAAGAAGACTCTTTCACATATGTTGTACTGCTATTTTGGTGGTGATGAACTCCTTTAACTTTTCGTGATCAAGGAAACTTAATCTGTTCTCCCATTCTAAATGATAGCCTTACTGAGTAATTTTGGTTGCAGGGCCTTGTTTTTCATCATTTTGAATATTTCATGTCACCTCCTTCTGGCCAGCAAAGTTTTTATGGAGAAATCAGTCTAATGAGAGCTTTCTTGTAGGTAACTATCTGCTTTTCTTTTGCTGCTTTTAAAATTCTTTCTTTGTCTTTAATGTTTGGCATTTATTTTCCTTTATTGATTTTAGAGAGAGAGGAAGTGAGAGGGAAATAGAAACATCGATGAGAGAGAACATCGATTGGCCGCTTCCTGCATGCCCCCCACTAGAGATCGGGCCCACAACCTGGGCATGTGTCCTGACCAGGAATCGAACAGTAACCTCTTGATGCATGGGTCGACACTCAACTGCTGAGCCACACCAGCGGACAAACCTTTAGCATTTTTATTATGATGAGTCTTAGTGTGGGCCTCTTTGGTTTCATCTTTTTTGGGACTCTGTTTCCTGGGCTTGTCTGTTTTATTTCCTTTGCCAAGTTAGGAAAGTGTTCAGACATTATTTTTTAAAATAGGTTTTAAATTCTTTGCTCTCTCTCTTCTCCTTTCAGCATCCCCATGATGCAAATGTTGGTATGCTTGAAGTTGTCCCAGAGACCCTTAAAGTACCCTCATTATTTTCTTTTATTAATTTTTTCATAAAGAGAGAGGAAGGGAGAGAGAGATAGAAACATCGATGAGAGAGAACATTGATTGGCTGCCTCCTGCATGCCTCCCATTGAGGATTGGGCCCACAACCTAGGCATGTGCCTGGACCAGGAATCAAACTGGCAACCTCTTGGTGCATGGGTCTACGTTCAACCACTGAGCCGTACCAGCTGGGCTACCCACATTATTTTTTATTCTTTATTTTTTCTCCTGCTATGATTGGGTGTTTTCTTTTACTTTATCTTCCAAATCACTTTTTTGACCTTCTGCTTCATCTTATCTACTGTTGATTCCTTCCAGTATATTCTTTACTGTTTTTTTTTTTTTTTTTTGGTACATTCCCCTAGCGGGAACCAAACCCAGGACGCTCTGGTCTGCAGGCCAATGCTCCAACCGGTGAGCCAAACCAGCCAGGGCCCTTCTAGTATATTCTTAATTTCAGTTATTATATTCCTTATTTCTGACTGGTTCTTTTTTATGTTTTCTCTGTTTTTATGTTTCCTGTCTTTTTGTTGAAGTTCTCGCTGAGTTGATCTATTCTTCCCCTAAATTTGTTGAGCATCCTTATAACCATTGTTTTGAACTTTGTATCTGGTAGATTGCTTGTCTCCATTTTGTGTAGTTCTTTTCTGGAGTTTTGTCCTATTCTTTCATTTGGGACCTGATTCTTTGTCTTATCATTGTGGCTGCTTTCCTGTGTTTGTTTCTATGTATTAGGTAGAGCTGCTATATCACCCGGGCTTGGCAGCATGGCCTTAAGTAGTAGGTGTCCTATAGGGCCCAGTGGTATAGCCTCCCCATCACCCGAGCGGAGCACTCCAGGTGTGCCCTCTGTATGGACTGTGTGTACCCTCTTGTCGTTGTTGAGCCTTGATTACTGTTAGCATGTCAGTGGGAGGGATTGAGCCCCCTGGGCTGATGGGCTGCGAGGACTAGCATGACTACAGCAGGGAAGCTGCTCTTCGAGGGCCCACCCCACAGAACAGAACTTGCTGCAGTGGGGCTCTGGTGTTCACCAAGTCCTCCCCTTGAGTGTGTTGCTTGTGGAGGGGTTGGGCATTGCTCCGGCTTGGTCTGAAGCTGTCCACTTAGTACACTGACTCTGGGGCCTCCTGAGAGGGTCAGGCCAAGGTGAGCCACTGCCTGTGCCCTGACTAGGGTCACCTGGCATGAGCTCCAAAGTAATCTACCAGTGGTTGCCAACTGTGCTGGGCTTGGAATTGCCCAGGAGAGGCCAAGCTGTGAACTGAGGCCAGCTGTCGCTAGTGCTGGGCTTGGGACTGCTTACAAAGAGGTACAGGACGTGCTGTGGACAGATGCTGCTTGTTTGGGATTTGTGGAACTTAGATTTTAGGAAAGTCTGCAGCATGAACCAAGACAGGCCATTTAAATGGAAATGCCACTGGAAGCAGCTTGGATGGGTCCAAAAGTTAGTTGGGTTGGGGCTCAGAGAATTACCAGAGCAGGGCAAACAATGTTAGCCACATTGATGGAGACTCAGATATGGTACCCACCTGCTAGCTCTATGGGGAGAGACTATGGTTTCTACCAGCGCTTCTTTCTGGGAAACAGCTGCCCCTCCACACCTCAACCTGAAGCCAGACAATTCAGTTCTTGCCATATGTCCCTGGTGTCTTTTGAGCTGTTGCCCCAGCGCTGGAGCTCAGAGCAATTGAGTTCAAGCGTGTCTGTGTTGTGCAGTCCCTTTAAGAGGACCAGCTGGGACTTCAACAGCCCTCTGTCTCACTCAGCCACAATTCCCACTGGTTTTCACGGCCAGAAGTTATGAGGACTTCTCTTTGTAGCACTGGAGCCTTGGGCTAGAGATCCTGGTGTGGAGATGGGACCCCTCACTCCTCAGGGGGGACCTTCACAAGCCTAGGTGTCTCTCTTGAGTTTTAACTGCCACACATGGGTGTAGGACCATCCAGTTCACAGTCTTCGCCTCTCCTACCAGTCTGGAAGTGGCTTCTATATGTTCTTAGTGACAGGACTTCTGTTCAGCTAGACTTCAGATGGTTCTCAGTGATGCTTGTTCTGTAATGTAGTTGTAATTCTGATGTACTGTCTTGACCCTGAACAGAATATTTTAAAAGATTTAAATTTTGAACTCAATTTGTATATCAGATCTATTGCTAATATTAGCGTTTAATATGTAAACCTTACTCTTACACTTAATTTTCAGTTAATTAAACTCTTTGTAATAAAAGCAAAAATGTTAAATATAGCTAAAAATCATACACATACATTCTTTTCAAAACATAACATAAATGTCAATAAAGACATAGTTTCAAAGTGTGAGTCCATTAGGTCAAAGTGTAGGAGAGAAGATAGAAGCAAACAGAAATTTTAACAAGGTTGTAGAGCATGGGAAGAGATAATTATCTGTATGTCTAGGATCAGAAGTAGGGTTGAAAAGAGATATCATCTGCCTTACAGAATTAAAGAAAGACTTGGGATATGAAGCAACCTAAATTCACCAATGAAAAGGCAAAGAGTAGCAGATTGGATCAGATAACGAAACCCAACCATATGCTGCCTTCAGGAAACACACTGAGCTGCAAAGACAAATATAGACTCAAAATGAAAGTGTAGAAAATAATTCTCCAAGGAAATGGCATCTACAGAAAAGCAGGTTCAGCCATACTTAATCTGACAAAATAGATTTCAAGATAAAACAGGTAACAAGAGACAAAGATGGCATTTTATAATGGTAAAGGGGACAGTACCTCAAGAAGAAATAACATTTCTAAATAGATATGCACCCAATCAGAGAGCAGTGAAATATATAAAGCAACTACTAACAGAAGTAAAGGGAGAAACTGACAATAACACAATCATAATATGGGACCTAAATACTCCACTGATAGCTCTAGATAGATCATTCAAACGGAAAAATCAATAAAGAAATATCTATCTTAATGGACACATTAGATCAAAGGCACATAATTGACATTTACAGAGCCTTTTATCCCAGAACATCAGATTATATATTCTTCTCTAGTGTTCATAGGACATTCTCAAGGATAGACTATATGTTGTAACTTAAAACTAGCCACAACAGCCCTGGCTGGTTTGGCTCAGCGGTTGGAGCATTGGCCCGCAGACCAAAGAATCACAGGTTTGAGTCCATTCAAGGGCATGTACCTCAGTTGCGGGTCAGTCCCCAGCCCTGGTTGGGGTCATGTGGGAGGCAACCAATCAATGTGTCTCTCATCAATGTTTCTCTCTCTCTCCCTCTCCCCCTCCCCCCCAATCTGTCTGAAAATAAATGGAAAAATATATCATGGGTAAGGATTTAAAAAAAACTAGCCACAACAAATGTAAGAAAACTGAAATCATATTAAGTATATTGTCCTATTACAATGCTTTAAAATTAGAAATCAACTGCAAAAAAGAAGTGAAAATAAAAACCCACAAATATCTGAAGATTAAACAGCATGCTACTAAAAAG